CCTCCAGTGTGGACTCTTCTGGAACTCCAGATTCATCTGTCCAACTGCCTACCTACTGGGCATCTCCACTGGGATTTGCTAGGAGACATTTCAGATTTATCAGGTCCCAAACTGTAACCCTGATCTTCCCCAGCCCCTGCCCTCAGTGGGCCAAAATCCCTGGAGTCTCCTTTGTCACCTCAACTCTCACATCCCACATCCAGGCCATCAGCAAGTCCTATTTGGCTGTACCTTCCGAACATATTCCTCAGTCTAACCATTTCTCCACCTGCCACTTCTAACAGCCTGGTCTGAACCACCATCATCTCTCACCTACATTGTGTAATAACCTCCTACTCTTCTGCCCTCTCCCCCTCTATACTTTATTCCTCCCATGGTCCCCCAATTCACTCAGAGTACAAGTCACCGTGGTGGCTGCTGAGGCCTTATATGATCCAGCGACCCTCTCACCTGGCAGACCTGCCCTCCTATTGCTTCCCCTTCACTAGTCTCGCCACTCAATGTACACTGCCCATCTAGCCGTCCCTGGAACCCCCCAGGCATGCCGCTGCATCAGGGCCTTTGCTGGTTCCTCTGCCTGGACCACTTAACACCCTTCACCCCAGTGTCATCAGACCTACCTCCCCCAGCTCTTTCAACTATTTGCTCATGTCTTACCATCTCAGTGAGGTCCCCCCTAGTTACCCTATTTATAATGCCACCCACATCCAACCAGGCCTCTTACTGTGCTCTATTTTTCTCTTAGTACTTATAACTCTCTAACATATAGAATTAACTTGATTATTTATTGTCTGTCTTCCACCTCCCATTAAAGTATAAGATCCACTTACAGGATTTTTTGGTTTTTTTGGTTTTTTTTTGTTTGTTTGTTTTGCTCACTGGTGTATCCCAAATGCTTAAAACAGTGTCTGCCAAAAAAATAGTGACGTGAGACCTTTTGTTGAATGAATATTTGTTGGAGGTATTTAGAAAGATGGAGATAGACAGAAAGCCAGTAAGCGTCAGAGATGAAGAATTAGGGGCACCCAGTCATGCTATTCATGCTGATATCTTAGCACTTGCCCCGTTGCATTGTAATTCATGGGTTTGCATATGTGAGTGAGTCAAGTTTAGGGTCATGATTAGAGACAGGGACCTTGTAGGCTTCATCTTTGAAACCCTAGCTTCTAGCACAGTTAGTAGGGTAGACTGAGCGCTGAAGGAAATGTTTAGGGACTGCATGAAGGAGTGGTGGATGATCCCATGGACAGAAAGGGTAATTATTATTATTATATATATTTTTTGCGGTATGCGGACCTCTCACTTCTGTGGCCTCTCCCATTGCGGAGCACAGGCTACGGACGCGCAGGCTCAGCGGCCACGGCTCACGGGCCTAGCCGCTCCGCGGCATGTGGGATCTTTCCAGATTGGGGCACGAACCCGTGTCCCCTGCATCGGCAGGCAGACTCTCAACCAGTGCGCCACCAGGGAAGCCCAACAACCCAATTTTAAAATGGACAATAGATCTGATCTGAACAGACACTTCACCAGAGAAGAACTGCAGATGGCAAATAAGCATATGAAAGGTGCTCAGATCATATGCCATTAGGGAATTGCAAATTAAAACAATGAGCTACCACTATACACATATTAGAATGGCCAAAATCCACCTGACAGTACCACATGCTGGCAAAGATGTATAGTAACAGGAAGGCTTATTCATTGATGGTAGGAACGCAAAATGCTACGGCTACTTTGGAAGACAGTTTGGCAGTTTCTTACAAAGCTAAACGTAGTCTTACCATGTGACCCAGCAGTTGTACTCCTTGGTATTTACACAAAGGAGTCAAAAACTTATATCCACACAAAAACCTACACACAAATGCTTTAATCGTAATTGCTAAAACTTGAAAACAACCAAGAGGTCCTTCAATAAATAGGTGAATGGATAAACAAACTGTGGTTCATCCAGACAGTAGAATATCATTCAGTGATAAAAAGTGAGCTGTCAAGCCACAGAAGACATGGAGGAACCTTAAATGCATATTGCTAAGTGAAAGAATCCAGTCTGAAAAGCATACGTACTGTATGATTCCTTGGAAACAGTAAAAGGATCAGCAGTTGCCAGGAGTTCAGAGCCAGGGAGTGAGTGTAATATACTATTTTAAACCTGCCCATAATAAATGTATAACTATTTTTCTTTTAGAAAATATAATTTTTTTTTTTTTTTTTTTTTTTTTTTGTGGTACGCGGGCCTCTAGCACTGTTGTGGCCTCTCCCGTTGCGGAGCACAGGCTCCGGACGCGCAGGCTCAGCGGCCATGGCTCACGGGCCCAGCCGCTCTGCAGCATGTGGGATCCTCCCAGACCGAGGCAGGAACCCATGTCCCGTGCATTGGCAGGTGGACCCTCAACCACTGCACCACCAGGGAAGCCCCTAGAAAATATAATCATTTTTTTAGCCAACAAATATTTATGTTAAGGACCATGATGGCAACAGTTGATATAGTGGAAAATAACATTAAAAAGAAAAAACATTATAAAGTAATATAGAGGACTGAACAAAGGTCAACGTGAATGTTAAGCTATTTGTCGGAAATCTCTTTTCTTCTACTTTTGCTGAGCTTTTAGGATGGAGGTGTTCCTCCTGACTAGGAATGTGTCCTGCTGGTGAGCTCTGTGTAGTCTCATCCTTCTTGGGTCCAATTAAACCTCCCCAGGCCATTTCTCTATTGTAATCCATCTTACATTCCACCATAAAATTATCATTATTATTATTATTTTGGCCATGCCAAGTAGCTTGTGGGATATGTATATATATCACATTTTATTTATCCATTCCATCAATGGACATTTGGGTTGTTTCCACCTTTTGGTTATTTTGAATGATGCTGCTGTGAACCTAGGTGTACAGATATCTCATAAAATTATTTTTAATTCATTGTTTTGATCATATCATTCCCTTGTTGAGAATCCTCAGTGATTCCATGTTGCTTACCAATTAATATTAACACTTAACCTGCTATTCAAAACCCTCTAAATTTTAATCCCAAGCTACTTCTCACTGTATTTAGCTATAGGATAGGAAATCAAATAAATTCATCAGAACTGTAACTAAAACAGAAAGCATGATAGCTTATGACTTGCTGTCTAAAGATATTTCAAGTGTGGGCTTTGTGAAGTCTTTTGGCTGGTGACAGATCTTATTTTATGTTTTGACTATTTTCTAGAACTTTCTGGCCTACTTGGCTATTGCCCTAGAACTGTGAAGGCATATAAAACATGGATAGACTGGTGGCTAGACCTTCAGGTAGCTAGAAGGGTAAGTCTAGTGGGAGGGCACGTGAGTGGGTAAGTAGGTCAGTAGCAGGTAGATGTGTTTATAAATTGACTCACAGCATGACACCAGCTTGGTAAGTGTGCCCCAGAGGTGTAGAGGCCTCCATTTCAGTCCTGCTTTGCTACTCCCATCTTGGGAGTGCCTTTTTTAGCCAGGAACTTTGTGGTAGTCATCACAGTTCTTTATAGAAGTAGTTTTTGTAACCTGTAATTGTGTATTAGTTAATTATAAATTTTCTGCTTTCCCCATTAGATGATAGTCTCAGTGAGAGTAGAGACTAGTTTTTTTTGCCTATCTTTTTCACTGCTGTATCTGTAACACAGTGTCAAGCATAGTATCTGGCATACAGTAGGTTCTCAATAAATGTTTATTTAAGAAAGGGTGGGACTTCCCTGGTGGCGCGGTGGTTGAGAGTCCGCCTGCCAATGCAGGGGACATGGGTTTGTGCGCCGGTCTGGGAAGATCCCACATCCTGCGGAGCGGCTAGGCCGGTGAGCCATGGCCGCTGAGCCTGCGCGTCTGGAGCACAGCGCTCCGCAATGGGAGAGGCCACAACGGTGAGAGGCCTGTGTAAAAAAAAAGAAAGGGTGGACTGACCAGAGTTCAAATGAGAATGAATATTTGCCATATTAAGTATGGCAAATTAAAATGTTTGGAATTGTAAAGGAATTTCTAAACAGGACAAAAGAGAGGGATGCAAGCTTCAAGGCAGAAATGCCTATTGTACATGTAGACTGGTCATCTTTGACAGGTGGTGTGGAATCTGGTGACAGTGCTGCAAGGAAGCAAAAACTTATCTTCAGAAAGATGAAAGAATAAAAAGATCTCTCCTTGGTCAGTGGCAGTTTGTCAATTTCCAGCCTACCAAATTATTTTTCCATTTTAAAAGATATGTATGTTCACTGTTAGAACACAGCAGTGTATATATGTTAGTCATTTATTGAATGATTTGTAAAATTCATCTTGGCAAAAACTTTGATCAAAACACAAAATAGTACCCAACAAATTGCTTTATAAGGAATTTGTTGAGTGTACTTTTTAAAAAATTTACGTAATTCCTAAAGGTTACTTTTGAAGTATAGATTGTTCACAGTTGAGTATTAACAAATAATAGTCATAGAGTTGAAGATCTCTTAACTATTCTTCTACCATGACTCAGTGGATGATTTAATCATATAATGTTACCCAGACCCTCAAAAACAATTTCAAATTTTCATAAAGAGTCATTCTTCAGCTATTTTCTTTATTTCACACGGTGGAAATTTCAGTTCACTGTTTGGCAGTAGGTTCTATATACCTAGCAATACTGTATACCAGAGTTTTCTAAGTATTTAAAAAAATATTAGTTCTTTCTTTACAATGTGCCTATGAGATTCAACAAGCACACTTTCCATTTCTTTGACATGGAAATTAAGGCAAAGTGCAGTGTTCTACTACAGACTCTACAGTAGGTTCCCTTATCTTAGATCATTACATTAATACTGAAACAACAGACCCAGCAGGTAGTCTTTCCGATGATGATCTTTCCACCTGTGGATCTCTCTGGAATTGGACCCTAAGGAATTAAGAGAAAGTATTTATGTTCTGGAATGTAAAAGTAGATTTTCAGTTAAGTATGTTAAACCATGGCAGGTTTGATGGCTTCTGATCTAGCTCACTTTTTTTTTTCTTTTTCCACACAGATTGATAGAGCTACATTCTCCTGATAGCAGGAACACGTTGATCCTACGTTGCAAGGATACAGCCACAGCACACTCCTGGTTCGTAGCTATCCACACCAACATAATGGCTCTCCTCCCACAGGTGTTGGCTGAACTCAATGCCATGCTTGGTGCAACCAGTACAGCAGGAGGCAGCAAGGAGGTTAAGCACATTGCCTGGCTGGCAGAACAGGTAGGCTGGGAGGCAGGGCAGGGTCTCACCGCGTCACTACTCAGAGCCAGGATGGTTCCCCCATTTCGTATATCTGTAATGTTTATCACGCAGTCAGGCCCTGGATGTCTAGCTTGCAGATCTTTTGTTAGTCTTTTGTTTCTCCTCCCCTAGTGTTTAGTTGTTTGTTGCTAATTATCACCTCTACCAGAAGAGTTGACTGTCATGATCATCATCATCATAACATAACTAAAAAGGGGTTCTTAGTAACATCTGTATCCTTAATGACTGAAAATTTTCACGGTTTTAGAATAGGATCAGCAAACTTCTTCTGCAAAGGGCTATTAGTGCTACAACTACTTGACTCTGCCATTATAGCAAGAAAACAGTCATAGACAATATGAACATGAATAGATGTGACTGTGTTTCAATAAAACTTTATTTACGAAAAGAGATAGTGGGCTGTATTTGACCCACAAGTCATAGTTTCCCAATTCCTGTTCTAGTCTATTGACAGAGTTTCAGGGACAACAGGCTTACTCCCCTGGTCTGGGAAAATTATAAAATATACAAGACACTTTACAAGCCATTAAACACATGTATAGTTGTCTTCTACAACTGAAAAATGAAAAGAAGAGAAACAAAAAAACCTAAGTAGATGTTGGGTGAAGGGAAAGGAAGGATATAATCCAAGTTAGTTTAGATCCAAATTTGGCAAAAGGGAGACTAAAAGTTCTACATGATGTTACAATACATCCTTTTTCTTTCTGGTCCTTCACTGTCAGCTGGGCCAGAGGGAGTTGAAAACAGAAGACAAAATAGGGATTCAGAGATGTCTTTTTTTTTTCCCCCCGTTGCGGAGCACAGGCTCCGGACGCGCAGGCTCAGCGGCCATGGCTCACGGGCCCAGCCTCTCCGTGGCATGTGGAATCTTCCCAGACCAGGGCACGAACCCGCGTCCTCTGCATCGGCAGGCGGACGTGCAACCACTGCGCCACCAGGGAAGCCCGGTTTCAGATCTTTTTAAAAGTGCCTTCATATCTTTGCATCCTAGTTCCTTCGTGTGTGCAAGGGGGCAGGGATTGCATCAGTATCAGCCCAGACAGGTTTTGTTCTTTTGCGTTGTTGTTTTGTTTTAAATACAGTTTCCCAGGTCTGGCCCCCCATGTTCCCCATCAAGAGTTCATATTTGGTAGACCGATGGTGGGGCCTGGAAATCTCATTTGGCTCCCTAGGTGATTGTGTAGTGGATTTTGGACTCCACTGATTTAGTTTTTTTTCAGCCGTGAAATTTTACGAACATTCCAAATAATGATTCTAATAAATTAGAACACAGAATTCATACTGTGATGATTTCTAGGAGGCATAATTAGAATAACTAAGCAGAAGAAACTAATGAAAATCATGGTATAAGTATTTACAACTTTGAAAGTTTTAGTCTTTTAGTTGTGTTTATCATTGTTTCTATATTTTTATAAGCTGGTTGAAAACCTCGATTGAGTGGTAATTGTTCTGTGCTTTCAGCAATGTTAGAAATCTTCATGATTTTAAAAAGGTAATACATTCACATAGTTCCAAGGTCAGAATAAAAAGTTAATAGGTGATGTCTTACTCTCCTTTTGGTCCCTCATCCGCCTAATTCCTACCCCTTTGCACCCAGGGAGGTAATCACTTTCATTCCTTTCTACTGAGTCTTATGAGAGTTTCTTTATGCAAATAAAAGCAATTATGAATATATATTCTTCTTTTTCTGTTTTATAAAAGAAGATGGCATATTATGCACACTACTTTATACCTTGCTGGTTTCTTTCATTAGGCAGTATATCCTGGAGATCTTTCCATATCAAAGCACAGAGAGCATTCTTTTTTACAACTATATAGTTTTCCATTGTGTAGCTGTAGTTAAATAAGCACTCCCCCCAGTTTTGTTGTCATAATCTTTTGCCATTACAAAGAATGCTATAATGAATAACCTTGTAGTTTGTCCTTTCACACATGTGCTTTCCAGACTCTTTGGTTCTTGAGTTCAGATAGATCAGATAACAAGGGAACACACATTACCTGAATGTATTTGGTTAAGTAGTAGTGAGCGTAAAACTTTGGTTAGAAAGGGATTTATCGAAAGTTTTACATCATTTCCTGAGCTTTGATCGTTAGAGTTCATAGAACAGGGGATATTTCTATACCTATAGGATAAATCCCAGAAGCGCAGGTTCAAAGGGTATATTAGTAATCTGTCTCTATGAAACAAATTACCCCCAAGAGTTAGTGACTTTGAAATAACATTTACCTCCCACAGTTTCTAAGGATCAGGAATCTGGTAGCAGTTTAGCTTCCTGGTTCTGGCCTGGGACGCTTCATGAAGTTGCAGTCAAGCTGTCAGCAAGGGTGGCAGTCATCTGAGGGCTTGACTGGGTTGGCAGGTCCACTTCCAACATGATTCATTTATATAGCTGTTGGCAGGAGGTCTCAGTTTCTTACTGCTTGTTGGCAGAAGTCCTCAGTTCCTTGCTATGCAGGCCTTTCCACAAGATTGGCTGAGTGTCCTCGAGACATGGCTGTGGGTTTTTGTCAGAGCAAGTGATCTGACAGAACAAGATGGAAGCCACAATACCTTTTATGACCTAGTCTCTTCTCTATTCTTTTCATTAGAAGTGAGTTACTAAGTCCAGTCTATACCCCAGGGCTCCGGCTCTTAAATGGAAGAATGGTAAAGAATTTGTGGACATCTTTTTAAACTACCACAAAAGGTATATGCATTTGTAATTTTGATAAATATTGCCAAATTTGCCTTCCATCAAGATTGAACTAATTTAAATTCCCACCAGCAACGTATGAGAGTTGCCAGACCTTTAAAGTGAACTTAATTTGGTTTATGCTACATACAGACAAGTAGAAAGGAGAAAAATAAAGCCACAAATTCATCACAATCTGCCCTTTATGGACTGTATTTATGTGTGTGTTTCCTCCACTCAGTTGTGAGCTCTTGGAAGATAGGAGCGCATTTTTCCCAAATCTTTAGCCCCCAGAGAACTTAGCCTAATGCTTTGTAAATAGTAGATGTTCACTAATTTTTTTCCTTTGTCTACATATATACATGCAAAAAGCAAGCACACAAGTCATTAATTATAACATACTGTCCAAGAACACAAGCTCAGGGTTGGAAAATAATACCAAGTCGAAAAGTTTCAACTTCTTTAAAAATAGTATCATGGAACTAATCCAAAGTGCTGTTTCTAAACTATTCATGATTTTTACTTTTTCCAAGTAGTTGTTCGGGTTACCCAAATCAAATACACTTAGAATAAGTTGTTCAAGCAAGACTGGATACCATTTCTCAGAGGTATTATAATGAGCTTATGTATCTGATAAGAGTTGCCTTTTTTAACGGTAAGATTGTTTAATTCTATGAGTATGAAAATGGTCAGGATAATTTTAGATCATGTAATCTTTTTGAAATAGGTAAGCATTTATTTTAGCAATAGATGTGTTTCCTGAAAAACTTGAATATGAATGAAACTGTTTCAGTTGTAAAGAAAAGATAGTTATCATTTATTTAACTTTAAATGATCTCTCCTTAACTTATCTGTTTGTTATTTCACATTGTCATAAATTGAGTTTGCTTAAAATAGGGAAAACCTATGCTACAGATGTTTGGTAACCAATAGATAATCTGTTCTGTGCAAGGCACTTCTATCTTTATTGATACTGATTTTTATGTGACTGATAGTTTACCTTTTAGTTGGTTATATTCTTAAAAGGGAATCTTCTTTAAGTCCACCAAATGAGGGGACATACGTTACCTACGAAATAAGTATTTTTAAGCATTTCAGTGTTGGTAGAAAAGCCAAGACAGCCAAAGAAAGCTTTGTTTTCACAGTTACTACCTTGTCCCTGGTTATTCTCAAATTGTGTAAAGACTCAAATTAGGAACATATACACTAAATCAGGATAAGTGGAACAATTTATTTTTTGCTCTATGTTTTCTATTGTAATAATAAAATACATAAATAGCAGAAGTACATAACCTCTTAAAAAGATTTGTGGGATGAAGAGATTTAGGGAATGAATAATAACTATTATTAATTTTTCATCTTTAGTGCTATTCAACTCTAGTTATTAGAAAATAAAGTTTGGAGAAGGCTGTTGTTCGACCAGGTATATGCATGTGTGGGTATTGAAACACAAGCAAAGCAGAACCCTAACTTTAGTATCCCTTTTTTCTCTGGCCAAAAACTCGATAGTGGGGAAAAATAACACCTCAGTAGTGGAGTCCAAAGGCTGCTTGTACTGATACCACAACCAAAAACACATACTACATATAGCAGGTGGCATTTTGATTCCAGTGAAAGCAAACAGTATCCTTATAAGTTAAGGCAAATAGGCAAACAGAATGACTTAAACTGAGGTTTCATTTTTCTCCAATGGTAAGTAGAAGAGGGAAAAGATATTCTCCAAAAACTAAGGACTCAAAAGAGCTAAAGAAACAAAAAAAGAAAAAAAAAAAGAGCTAAAGAATAAACACTTTTTTTTTTTTTTAATAATTTATTTTGTTGTGCCCTGTCAGTTGCGGCAGACGGGCTCCTTAGTTGTGGCATGCATGTGGGATCTAGCTCCCTGACCAGAGATTGAACCCAGGCCCCCTGCATTGGGAGCATGGAGTCTTAACCACTGCACCACCAGGGAAGTCCCAAGAATAAACACTTTTTAAAAATTGTAAATTGAAAGAAAAGTTCTCTGTCTTGAAATCGCATATTGCTTGTATTGGCATTAGCAGTTTTCCTTTCTCTTCTTTGGGAAGAAATACATTTAATTTAGATTTTCTAAATGCATATACTCTGATCTAGTGTTCAAAATCTCTCTTATAACTTAGCAAAAAAAATAATTAAAAAAATGAGATAGTCATTTTATCCCTTTGGTAAGATACATTTTTACATTATTTTCCCTATGAAATATTATCCATAACAATCTCGGAGGCAAAGATTTAGTAGTGCACATAAACTAGAAATCCCTTCAGGGTATCTATGACCCCAAAATTTAAGAATCCAAGAGAACCTCTTTACAGCTGATACTCTCCCTCCAGACATTACTTTAGACTAATATAGAGTCTTAGAAAACTTGGGTTCACTGGTAAGGAAAGTATTAATTATTTCTACCATACTTTGCTTGAATACTCAGGGTTGGGTCATGTATTTTGTGCTTTCAGCACAGGGTCGAACATGGGTAACTTCACTGGCTGGAATTCATTTCCCCTTCCTGGAATCAGCTCATGGCTCTAGCTAGGAGAAAAGCATCCCAGTGGTAGATGTTACAGCACAGAACCGAACCACTCAGGTCACTTTTCAGATTACAGTTGTATTCTTAAGGTGCTCTGACATGTTCACATTTCCTTCAGAAGTCATTAAGGAAGAGAAAATAAAAAGCGGATCTGAAGACAAGTAAGAGACAAGTGATTCATCAATTTAAATTCACCTTGAAGCCATCAGTGATAGTGAACAGAAAAGATGAGGGTTAAAATGCTGTTGTTAAGCATTCCCTGCTCAAAGGTCTCATCTTGTGAAGGCAAACATTTTGATGATACCAGGGCTTTTCTTGAACATAGTCTTCTGTTTTTTAGTCTTGGATCCTTGACAATATGTATAAGTAGTGGTTGTTTTCCTACGTTTTTAAACCATCATAGAGATAACTGAGTTTTATGCAATTAAATGTAATGGTACACTTGAAACTGAAACATAAACTTCCTGAACTATAATGGGGAACTCTTTGAAAGTAGTTTATATCAGTGTTTTCCAAAATACAGCATAATTGGTCATATCGGCGTTTAAAAAAGATAAAATAGAAATTAGCAGAGTACTTTGCACAAAGTATAGGAATTGTGTTGTTTTGGAAATTTTTAAATTCAGTATTTATATGTATGTGTTGAGTTGCAATGTAAAATGTATTTCTTATTGTAGGTCTTGATCAAAAATATTTGAAAAACAATGATATTTATATTATACAGACTCATTTGGTAATAGTTTCTATCCTGTACTTAGAAGATGTTACTCCCACATCAGACATATTAAAACTATTATCATTTTGAACAGAGTACTATGTATTTAATTAGAATTGGTGATAATTAGTTATTGTGGAATAGGGATAAAACTGTGTCATATCATTAGAAAATGTCTGTAACTCACTCAGGGAGAGCTTTCTCAAACTACACAATCCACCTCACACCTCCCAGTGGAGAATCCCTGCCAGTGGGAAGGAACCTGATGGGATGTTTCCTTTTCCTCACATCTGTTAGGAAGGGGAAACAGAATAGAGATCCACTATCTTAGGCTGTCACTGAAGGAACTTTTACAGTTACAGATCATTATAGTTAGCTCTACTTTCTGGATTTCACCACTGTAACAGGCAAAACTAGATGGTGGAAGACAACAGTGGAGACCTGTCCTCATGGCTGTAACTGAGAAGGATTTGCTGCTTTATGACTGTATGCCGTGGACAAGGGATGCCTGGGCATCACCATGTCATAGCTACCCTCTTGTTGCCACAAGGTAAGACTAAAGACAAAAAAATAAAATGTCTATCCTCCTCTAAATCTACTAAAGAATTTAAAAATGAATTCTATTATCTTTTAGGTGGCTAAAATAACATTTAAGTAGCTGATGCAGTTGATTTAGACAAAAACTTTTCTTTCACAACCTTATTGATTATTTTGCAGCTCCTAGCTCAAAATAAATGGTTTCTGTCACTAGTATTTTTGTGTGTATTTTTTAAGTTGTTGAAGCAGCTTCCTAACTGCTCTTTTCAAGACTTGCTTAGTCATGAAGATAAGTAAATAGTGGGGGTTTTTTCCTTTACTTTATTGACTGTGACTAGAAAACTACTGTAATAGTGGCAGCATTTTGACTGAGTGATGAAATCATTTAAACAAGACTGTGGTACCATGGATAAACCACACAACTCAGCCAAAACGTTCTTCAACTTCTCTTTCTAGTATAAGAGTACATAATTTTGATTCCATCAAATAAACATTTATTTGACCTGAAGCAACAGGATGTTTCTAGCATGTCCAATGTGGGGAGTTGGAAGGGAAAAGAAAAGAGAAATGTAGATTTGGGGACCAAGATGTCTTAAGAAATTACTAGAAAGTAGTTATCTAGTGTGAATCTAGAAAACATGTTCACGTTCGGTGTTATTTGGGCTTAAAAAAGAATCAGGGGCTTCCCTGGTGGCGCAGTGGTTGAGAGTCCGCCTGCCGATTCAGGGCACACGGGTTCGTGCCCCGGTCCGGGAAGATCCCATATGCTGCGGAGCAGCTGGGCCCGTGAGCCATGGCCGCTGAGCCTGCGCGTCCGGAGCCTGTGCTCCGCAACGGGAGAGGCCACAACAGTGAGGAGAGGCCCGCATACCGCAAAAAAAAAAAAAGGGAGCCCCACAGAAAATACTTGGTAGTCAGAAAGGCTAAATGGTGGAACCATCTGGTATGTCCCACGGGCAACAACAGTATGGGGGCTCCTGCTTTCAGCAGACAGAGGGTCACGTGAGGCAGAGTATTCTTCTATTCCAGGAAGGCTTCTATGTTATGTAGGATTTCCTTCAATTTGCCAAGTTCCCTTACATATATCACTCTTTTTATAAAAATATAATTTCCACATAGCTTTTCAGGAGTTTCTGTGTAATTTAGAGCTGGAGCCCTTAGATCACAGAATAGAGATAAAGGATTTATTGAGCCTCAGAGTTAGGGAAGTGTGCCCTCATTAATTCCTTCAGGACATAATGGTCCTTCAGAAAGGATCTGTCCAGATCTCTTAAGCTTAAATTTTATGGAAGAGGCTTATGCTCTAGTTATGATCATAGAATGCAAGGAGGGTAGCTAGCTATATCCTTAGACATTTCCTTTACTGGGTGTTACTGGAGGGATGGAGCAGAAACCTATGATATCCCCTAGATGAGCCTTTGTTCAATATAGAAATTACAATCTCATAAACAATTTCTGGACATTGACTAGACTGGACCTAGACCACCAAGGTACTTTGGTACTAAACAAGGAAATGGGGTGGTTGTGTGGGTACTCTCAATGTGGTATTAATTTGCAACTAAGGAAAAGATATAAATAAGATTTAAAACTCTTAGAAAAAAAATACAGGAGTAGATCTTAATGATCTTGGCTTAGGCAGAGCCTTCTTAGATATAACACCAAAGCACAAGCAACAAGAGAATAAATAAATAAATTGGACTTAATCAAAGTTAAAAACTTTTTTGCTTCATATGTCACCATTAAGAAAGTGAAAAAACCCACAGAATGGGAGAAAATATTTGCAAATCATATATCTAATCTGGGACTTGTATCTAGAAAATATAAAGAACTCTTACAACTCAATAATAAAAAGATAAATTACCCAATTAAAAAATGGGAAAAGGGTCTGAGTAGATGTTTGTTCAAAGAAGATATGCAAATGGCCGATAAGCACATGAAAACGTGCTCGGCATAATTAGCCATCAGGGACTTGGAAATTGAAACCACAATGAGCTATCACTTCCCACCCACTAGGATGGCTATAATTAAAAAGATAGTATGCAAGAGTAGACTAGGATGTAGAAGAAAATAGAATCTCATACACTAGTGATGGGAGTGTAAAATGGTGCAGTTGATGTGGAAAAATCTGAAAGTTCCCGAAAAGGATAAACATAGAGTCACCGTATGACCCAGCAGTTCCACTCCTAGGTTGTATATCCAAGAGAAATGAAAAATGTCCACACAAAAATTTATTCATGAAAGTTCATAACAGCATCATTCATGACACCTAAACAGTGGAAACAATCCAAGTGTCCATCAGCTGATGAACAGACGTGGGCTTTCTCTAGTTGCGGCGAGCGGGGGCCACTCTTCACGGTACGCGGGCCTCCCACTGTTGCAGCCTCTTCCGTTGCGGAGCATAGGCTCCGGATGCGCAGGCTCAGCGGCCATGGCTCACGGGCCCAGCCGCTCCACAGCATGTGGGATCTTCCCAGACTGGGACACAAACCCGTGTCCTCTGCATCGGCAGGCGGACTCTCAACCACTGCGCCACCAGGGAAGCCCATACAATGGAATATTATTCAGCAAAAAAAAAAAATGTTCTGATACACACTGCAGCATGGATGAACCTTGAAAATATTATACTAAGTAAAAGGAGCCAGATGCAAAAGACCACATATTGTATGATTCCATTTATATGAAATGTCCAGAATAGGCAAATCTATACAGACAGAAAGTAGATTAGTTGTTGCCAGGGTTTTTTTTGGTGGGGGGGTGGGGCAGGGAGGGAGTTGGGAGAAATAGGGAGTGACTGCTAGTGGGTATAGGGGTTCTTTTTAGGGTAATGAAAATGTGCTAAGATTGTGCTGATGGTTGCAAAACTCTCATTTTACTAAAGTCCATTGAACTATGTACACTTTTAAGTGGTAAAGTATATGGTATGTGAATTATATCTCAGTAAAGCTGTTATAAATAAAACAAACCCCAAAAGCCAACAAGATTTAATAGAAGGGAATAAGACCGATCCTTAAACTGAGTTTGAGTTCCTAATAGCTACTTATATTAGGTAATTGGGAGCATTGTTACTTAATCTTTCTGTGCCACAGATTTTTCATTTGTTAAGTGGACCCTAATGAGATAGAGGGGGTGCGAGTATTAAAATGAGTCAATACTTTTAAAATGCCTACAGTGGTACCTGACACATTGTAGGTGCTCAAGTAAGTGTTAGCTTCTTTAATTATAATAATTATTTATTATTAAGTGAAAATATGTCAAGGAAGAATTTGTGTAAAAAGTATAATTGGTTTTTTGACATTGTTAAAAGAAGAGCTTAGGGCTTCCCTGGTGGCGCAGTGGTTGAGAGTCTGCCTGCCAATGCAGGGGACACGGGTTCGAGCCCTGGTCTGGGAAGATCCCACGTGCCGCAGAGCAACTAGACCCATGAGCCACAACTACTGAGCCTGCGCATCTGGAGCTTGTGCTCCGCAACGAGAGGCCACGACAGTGAGAGGCCCGTGCACCGTGAAGAGTGGCCCCCGCTCGCCGCAACTAGAGAAAGCCCACGCACAGAAATGAAGACCCAACACAGCCAAAAATAAATAAATTAAATTTAAAAAAAAAAAAAAAGAAGAAGAGCTTAGCTCTAAACCAATAGTTTTTACGAGTAGTGAAAGTTTCATATTAAATGTGAGGAATTCAGATATATATTTGTTTTTGTTTTTGTTTTTTATTATTTATTGGCTGCATTGGGTCTTCATTGTTGTGCGTGGGCTTTCTCTAGCTGCGGTGAGTGGAGGCTACTCTTCGTTGCGGTGCGCGGGCTTCTCATTGTGGTGGCTTCTCTTGTTGCGGAAAACGGGTTCTAGGCACGCGGGCTTTAGTAGTTGTGGCACACGGGCTCAGTAGTTGTGGCTCAAGGGCTCTAGAGCGCAGGCTCAGTAGTTGTAGCGCACTGGGCTTAGTTGCTCTGCGACATGTGGGATCTTCCCAGACCAGGGCTCGAACCCTTGTCCCCTGCATTGGCAGGCAAATTCTTAACCATTGCACCACCAGGGAAGTCCCTCTTAATACGTTTAATTAATTAATGAAACAGCAAGGATTCTTCACTCCTTGCTCAGGAAGTACTGGTGGATTAGGAGCAAAGGTGACAGGTAGATGAGAGGTTTAGTTTTTCCATGTGTTGGCCAGATGGAATTGGTTGAAGTCACTTCTTGATAGAATTAAGGGGGCTTAATCACCCTCTGCCTCCTAGAGAGAGGTTAGAGTATCGCCACTGAAAGAGACCAGGGGAGGAACCCAAACCAGAAGGTATCCAGTAGAGAGAGGCAAAGCCAGAAAGTGGTGTGCTTATGTCTTTTTAGTGTGGAGGAAAGAGGCAGTTTGAGATACATATGAGTAATGAGAAAGGGCTGAATGTTCACTTTCACTAATTCTAATACTTTGGAACATGTTCTTATGAGTGGATGAGATACACACACACACACACACACGGGTAACATAAACATATAGAGAAGGAAAAGATTAAGGACTTTGATGATCCAATAGCAAAGGTAGACAGTCCCTGATAAATTAAGAATTAATTGCAGTTCAAAAATCAAAGAAGGGAACTTCCCTGGTGGTGCAGTGGTTAAGAATCTGCCTGCCAGTGCAGGCGACATGGGTTCGAGCCCTGGTCCACGAAGATCCCACATGCTGCAGAGCAACTAAGCCTGTGTGCCACAACTACTGAGCCTGCGCTCTAGAGCCCATGCTTCACAACAAGAGAAGCCACTGCTCGCTGCAACTAGAGTAAGCCCACGCACAGTAACGAAGACCCAGTGCAGCCAAAAATAAATAAATAAAATAAGTAAATTTTAAAAAAAATCAAAGAAGGGCTTCCCTGGTGACGCAGTGGTTAAGAATCCACCTGCCAATGCAGGGGACATGGGTTCGAGCCCTTGTCCAGGAAGATCCCACATGCTGCAGACCAACTAAGCCCGTGTGCCACAACTACTGAGCCTGCTCTCTAGAGCCCAGGGGCCACAACTGCTGAAC